CCCCCCCCCCTTTAGGAAGAGATGGACACACCAAGATTAAGAAGGATTTGTTTGAGCCAAAGTAGTTCAGATGTAGCAACTGCCATAGATACTCGGCTTCTTTATAGGAGCGAGAGATGGTAGTTTGTTTCTTTGTCTTCCAAGAGAGCAACAAGTCACCGAGCATGGTGATGTAACCAGTAGTTGAGTGACAAGTGAGGGAGCAAGTAGCCCGATCAAAGTCACAATATGCCTTGAGATCAAGTTGACTCAATGATGATAAGAAAATTCCTTGATCTGGTGAAGACCGTAGATAACGCATAATGCACATGGCAGCATTCATGTGTTCTTCATGTGGCTCATGTAGAAATTGACTAAGTGTATGTACTGAAAAGTTAAGTTCTGGTCTTGTAACTATTAGATATACCAAACAACCCACTAACCATCGGTACTAGGATGGATCTAGAGGGTGTAAAGTGGGCTGTGTCGGATTGGGACGGCACGGCCCATGGGTGACCGACACTTTGTGTGGGTCATGCCGCCCTCCCCGGTGAAAAATTTGGGGGTTGGCCCGGCCTGGCATTCCCGCAGCCCAGGCCCATGTGGACCCGTGCTGTGCCACGGGCCAGGTTGGCCCATGGGCTAAGCCTTGGGCTAGGTCGGGCCGTGTATCAGGCCAAAGCTATGTATTTAAAAAAATTGACAAAAAAACTTAAAATTTTAATTTTATATGAATTTTGTGTATAAAATTGCTTATATATGCAATAATTAAATAAATTAGTATAATAAAATTAAAAAATATTTATTTTATTAATATATTATATACTATATATTATTATATAATTATAATATATATATAAATATATTATATATATGGGCTAGGCCACGGGCCGTGCATTGTTATTATGGAACCGACATTGTTATTCCATAGGAATGAGGCTAAGCCTAGAATGGATCATGCTAGTATCTTGCAAAAGGTCAAGCACGTATTTATGTTGGCTTAGAAAGATGCTAGATGCTGAGCGGTTCACTTAAATCCCTAGGAAATATGTGAGGGGGACAAGATCTCTGATACAAAAACAAGTGTGAAGGTAGGTGATTAATTCCTCAATGTGTTTGGAGTTTTCACTATTGAATATTATACCATCAACATACACCAACACTGTTGTGAAAGATCCATAACGATGGGAAGTGAATAAGGAGTAGTCGGCTATGGACTGTTGGAAACTATGCTCCTTGAGTGCAATTGTGAATTTTTCAAACCACATACCAGAAGCATGTTTAAGGCTACATAAAGAGTTGTGTAATCAACACACCTTATTAGAAAAGCTTTTTACAAATCCTTGTTGTATGCGCATGTAAACCTCTTCATGAAGATCTCCGTTCAAGAAAGCATTATTAACATCCAACTATCGGAGTGGCCAACCTTTGATTGATTCAGCTACTAATAAACATCGTACAGTCATTATTTTGGCTATAAGAGCATATGAACCAGTGTAATTGAGGCTCTCATTTTGATTGTAGCCTTTAGCTACTAAGCAAGCTTTATATCACTCAATGGTTCCGTCAGCTTGGTATTTGACTTTGTAAATCCACTTAGAGCTAGTGGCTTATTGCTTGGTGGAAGATCTACAATGGACCAGGTGTTATTAGCTCCAATGCTTCAATTTCTTCAGTCATAGCTTGTAGCCAACGAGGATCACGTGTTGCTTCTACAAAATTCTTTGGTTCACAAGGTGCGCTATTGTCACAGTTTGTTGTTTGAACTCTAGAAGATATGAGTGAATGGGGAAGATTACAAATATAGTTATTGAAATGAACAGGAGGTTAGAATGGGGTTGTGGGTCGAGGGCTGAGGTTCACAAGTGGTGGGTTCATGGTCATCATCTAGTTGAGGTAACAATGTTATGGGTTCTAATTGGGGCTGATGGGCTTAGAATTGAAAAGGGAAATGGGACTCAAAAAATACAACACCCCGAGAGGTGAAAATTGATTT